GTTTTAATTCCTAATGTGGTAAATATTTAAACACATTAGCCACATAAACAAGAGCTCTTTTCTTTGGGGTTTTCAATACTTTTAGAGGGTAAATGGGTTTTTAGAACAAAATGTTTAAGAACCTCTGCCCTAAATGAATCAAGACTGATCTGAATATAATAATACCATATGCTTTGATTGACACCAAAAGTACTTTTCCTAAAATAAATTATAAAGAGAAGTAATGAACTAGAAAGAACCCTAAAGCACTCGTTTCCATCCCATTTCTAACTGGCATTTTGAAGTAGAAGTAGAAAGGTAAAATCTCATTTCTAAGTGATATTATGTAAGTTTTACAGCTATGAGACAGATTATATCAGATATTGCAAAACATCAGTACAACATACACATAGCTATGCACAACTTTTTGGTCCCTTAAGTTGAGAGCTTTTTGAACTGTTATTATCCGTTAATATAACAGTGTCAGTGACTAAGCTCCAAACAGAAAATGTAATGAAAGAATTATCACTAATTAAGTAAAATAAATTAGTCTTCTACTTAGTAGAATAAAACATGAAGAACCAAGATGTAAACTATGAGTTACTTTGCTCCAGAATGTGTCCATGTGTATTGTAGTATTTTTATGTGTATTGATTCTGAACAAATTAATTATTTTTCTATTATAAAATTACCTTAGTGTTATAGTTCACACATAGACATACACACACTCAGATACTTCTGCTGCTCTATATCTGTTTAAGAATCAAAATTGGTAATAAAGCCATCTAACTTAAAAAGAATAAGAGTTTCAAAACACCTGTGCTACTTGGCTTTTGGTTGCTGGGTTACTAAATGATACTGAAACAATTATGCAAAAAACTCAGCTATATAAAAGCTATAATACCTCTTTATCTCATTATCATTTAAATGTTAAATGCTCCATTATAGAGGTAAATTGGGTTTAAAATAGAATGTTTCAAGCAGAAGAGCAAAAAATATAAGGTTAAACAGAGTGAGGAAACAGAGCTTCGATTGTGGTAGAAAGCTTGCTGGGGCATGGACTGATCTTTTGATATACTAAGAAAGCCAGACCCTCTGACATGCCCTATGGAGAGTAAATATACTGATCTGGAACAAAAATTATGTGAAACAGCTGTTAAGTGACAGAAGAAATGTGCATCAGACCACCAGCCTGTCATAAATATTGCACTCTTAATCAGAAAGCATCTGTCTTTTCATTTCCTTTTCAGCAATCTCTGTATTGTATTTAATCTGTGCGGAATGCTTCTTCTAACAGGTGCAACAATGTTTACAAATTGAAAACCTTATTTAAATGAAACTTACAACTAAAGACATTTCATTTCAATTAACAGGGCAATACTTTATGAGAAGGAATAATTCTAGCACTTGGCAAATCCATTCCTTGCTTTGCATTTGTGAAATTTAATTATTGGAAAATTAGACTAGACACCCCAAGAAAAACTAAAGATGACATGTGCATCCAGCAATCTATGTAATCTATAAGCCCCCAAAGACACTGTAGGGGAAAGGTACTAGTGGGAATATGGAAACATGAAATATTGGGGAGTGATGTTATAAAATGTCACATTTAATCAAAAAATAATTTTAGAATAATATCCCACATGCCCATTAAAAGTGGTGTCTATGGCACTACTTTGTTTTCCTATAGTATTTTTTTCCTATTGTCATTACTCATTTGTTGAAACTGATCATACTAGATCTATAATCAATCTGCTGGATTAAAAAATATGGCAGAAATGCTAAAGTTAGCATTATAATAACCCAAATAAAATTTAAAGATAATTTCTGCAAAAATAGGATTATAATTATAAAATTATCTCATTTAGAACACATACAATGTATAAAGTGAAAAGGATGGTAGAATTATCTACTTCGATGCTTTTACTAAAAACAAGTGCAGTGATAATTAACTCAGTTTCTACAGGGGCCAGGCAGGTAATGTAGGCAACATAAGTCTGGTGAAACATGTGGCCCTTTAGGTTGATTGTTTCATTTCCCAATTTGTGATAGCAACAGGCATTGAAGAAATATTCTTCTTAACTGCACTCTAGGACAAACAACATGGCAGACTCCTTAATAAAGAACATGGGAAGCTTGTGAGTAATGTACAACTTAGCCAATTGTTTTCATGGGAGAAACAATTTTTCAGTAAAGCTCAGGCAAACAAAATATATCTGTGAACTGGATTTTGCCCTTGGGCTTCCAATTTGCAACCTTCAGTGTAATAGTTGAGAACACAGGCTTACTGTTAAAAAGATCTAAAGTCAACTACTATCTTGGCTATTTATGAGTTTTATGACCTTGGATAAGCTACTTGATTTTAAGCTTCATTTCATCATCAGTAAAATAAATGTTAGTAATAAAAACTGACTCATTAGGATATTATAAATACTACGTAAGATGAGATAAAAATTCTTAGCACATCAAGTACTCAATAAGTGGTAGATATTATTTTATATATTATATAATATGTAAATATATACACATACATCATATTTTTATATCTAATAGTAAATTCATGAAAAAGCTCTAATTTACTCACTTGATTTAATAATTGACATTAAACACATATCATTTATATCATGGATAAAGCCTGTCAATGTCTATGATTCCTGTCAATGTATACATATTTTGATTATAGGTTAACACAGAAAGCAAATGTTATTATTTGTTCTTGTAAGAATTTGCCACACAAAATTATCTCAAGCATTTATACTTTGCAAGGGACAAACGATTAAAATTTTTTTTCCACACTAAAGCATTATAAACAAGGTCATTTGTTAAAAAGCATAGGGGATTCTCTTTTAATTGCTTTCTTAGAGACAAATATAATAAAAAATAATTTTGCTGATGGGAGTTAAGTATTTGGGGTATATTTGAAAAACTGATGAGGTTTTTCAAACTAAGCCTATTCTAAGAGATAGACTTTAGCCACTGGAGTTTCACTCTGATAACAGTGCCTTCTTAGAACTTCACTCTGACCTGTTTCCAAATCTGTCTACTGACACCTCAGATTGTCTAGCTTATCCTCATTAGATCCTATCTCTTCAGCCTTAAAAGTTTGTTTTCTTTAATAATTAACAATCTCCACCTTTCCATTAAATGTGTTCTTGTTTAAAAAGTTTGGAAATTCTTCCAGTAATATGTTGAACCTACACTAAGATAATCATACCTGTTATGATAGCTATGGTTGATGGAAATCTTATTATATGCTCAATATTAGCTAAGTCTATCACATGCAGTCTCATTTAATCCTTACCAGGGCTCTATGAAATAGATTCCTTAAGTATACCAAGTTTCCTCATCTGTAATGTAAAATAATTCTGAAAGAGGTTAACTCATTTGTCTAGTAAATATCAGAGTCAAGAGTTAAGTATAGACCCATTCCTAAGGTTATACTATTCTGTCTGTCTAAATTCTTTGCTTAAAATTCAACCAGGATGAATTAGATATATATGGAATAAAAGCTATCATTCAACATGTTAACATGACATGAGTTGGATGGGCTGAGATGGGAGGATAATGAAGAGATATTAAAAGGTAGCAGGTAAGAGGGCACCTGGGTGGCTCAGTCAATTGAGCATCTGACTTTGGTTCAGGTCGTGATCTTATAGTTCATGAGTTTGAGCCTGATACTGGGCTCTCTGCTGTCAGCACAGAGCCTACTTTGGATCCTCTGTCTCCCTCTCTCTACCCCATCCCCTACTTGTTCTCTCCCCATCTCTCCCTCTCTCTCTCTCTCTCTCTCTCTCTCTCTCTCTCTGTTTCTTTTATAAATAAATACACATTTAAAAAATATAAATGATAGCAAGCAGGAAAATTAAAAATGAGTTAATGCCTTAAAATGTTGATTACATTTAAGTGTATATAGTATAATTAATGAAAGATAAGATACCTCTACACATGTATCCTATTTTTACACCACAATAGCAGGTGAAAATACAATTTAAAAAAAGATAAATTATAATAACTTTTCCATTACTCAAGAATTCATCCCATTACAACAGAATTCACCCAGAGTTTCTCCCTTCATGAATTTAAGTTGTTAGTGACCATTGGTTGTTTACAGAGGAGCTAAGGGATGAGCATGGGAGTGTTACAGAGAAACATAAAGCTAAATATCACTGAAGCTAGCAGAAATTAAGATATCACGTATCTGAAGTTGAGCCTATAAAAATATAATTCAAACAGAACATTTCAGGAGCATCTATAGTTGAAGAACAAAGCAGACTTTACTCTATTTCCAAGCAACAATTTTGTTAATAATAATTACCTCCAGCAATAAAGGTTTCAAATAGCTCCCAATAAAGCATGCACAACTTGTGAAAGGCAAAATATTTCAACAGGTTTGGTTTTGCAGAGAACCAGTTTCCTGTGACATAATTATGAGAGTGATCAAAAGGCTTGAAGGCCAACAGATGGATGAACATAAACTTAGTTAAGATAAATCAGGCCTCTGTAAAAATCTTGGGGAAAAAATCCTCCTATCCTCTCAAAAAAGTAGTATCTTTTTGGGCAGGCAAACTATTGACAAACTTTGGGCAGCTAATCCACAAGACTCACATTAATATACAGCACATGAAACACATTTTCCCTTGGGGAAGGAGAGGAGAAACTATTGCACATGTCATCTGTTTCTGTGAATACTGAAGATTACAATTATGTTTTGATGTTAATCCAACTACTGCAAATTTCTTGTTGTGAAGCACACTGAAAATGTGAGTGACAGTATAAATCTTTTTAAATTGAATTCAACACTATTGAAAAGAGCTGATGTTTCCAAATACTGTTACAAAGCCTCTGAACAACAAGAATAACTTTTTAAATGAAGCAGCTCCCTATAGTGACCTATTTGGTAAGAAAGACAAATAGCCAGGATAAAATCAAAGTCTGCATATCTGCTATATATGATGTGTGTGTGTGTGTGTGTGTGTGTGTGTGTGTGTGTGTGTGTATTTTGCATTTTTAGGAACAATCACCTGTAATGCTGTGATGTCCTCATAGGCAAACTGCACTGTGGGAACTCCAAGATGGTTGATGAAATAATCAGCATCACCTTGAATCTGTACAGAACTGACGTTGGTTTCTCGGCACTTAGCTCTTCTGGAACAGTTGAAATAATGTTTCTGAAAAACATGATTTAAATTGTTAGCATACACTGTGCTTCTTGAGATATCCCAAAATTGGTGTGACACAAAATGTGGTCAATAGATTGGCTGCATCAATGTCATCCAGCAACCTGCTGGAAATACAAATGCTAAGGAACGGGAATAGGATCCTTTGAGGATGGAGCACAGGAGCCTATGTTGTAACATTTGCCTATGGTTCTGATGCTCACAGAACAGTGACTACTGCCAGTTCAAATCAAACTCTACTTGCTGTTGGTGCTTCAAAAGCATCTTTATCATAGATTATTAAGAATTGTAATGACTCTTTAATTGGAAATATTTTAAAATGATGTTGAGTCCCTAAAAAGTTTAGAGGATTTTTTTTTCAAATTTTCCAATAAATTTAAAGGAAAGCTTTGTAGGTTATAATTCCATTTTTCTTAGAATGTTTTTTGAAAACCACAGAAGGAATCTTCTCCATTTATTCTTTTTTTAATAATGTTTATTTATTTTGAGACAGAGAGAGTATGTGAGCAGGGAATGGGGCAAAGAAAGAGGGAGAAAGGGAGAATCCCAAACTGCTGGCAGCGCAGAGCCCAATGAGGGCCTTGAACCCACAAATCCTGAGTTCATGACCTGAGCCAAAACCAAGAGTTGGACGCTTAACCAGCTGATTCACCCAGGTGCTCCTCTATTTATTCTTAAAAGCATATTCCCTTAAGCCTCAAGTATGAAACTTTTATGGAAAAATACCAATCTTGTCAGCAGTAATCATGAGAAAAGTGAGACACTAGCATGAGAACATCACATCTAATGTCAAGCAGAAAGTATGTATTTAATACATGTTTGTCATTGAATCGAGACATTGACTTCTTGTGGTGCCTGGGTGGCTCAGCTGGTTTGGCATCTAACTCCTGCTCACAGTTCAATGGGTTCAATCCCCACACTGGGCTCCCTGCCTTCAGTGGGGAGCCTGCTTTGGATTCTCTGTCCCTCCTCTCTCTCTGCCCCTCCCCTGTTTGTGTTCTCTTCTCTCTCTCTCAAAATCAAATAAACATTAAAAAAAAAGAAAAGACATTGACTCTTCAACCTTATCTCCCACCATATTTCACTGACATGATGTAATTTAAAAAATAATTGTATACACACACACACACACACACACACACATTATATGTATATCTGATAAAAAAATTTGGAAATGTGTAGTTTAATATTTAGAACATGAATTGTTCAACTTTTGTTGACTACAGGGCTAGATTTTTCGAACATATAATATGTTTCAAAACCTATCCAATTTTCTTTGAGGATCTAACAGAAAGACCTTTGCAACAAAGTTAAAATCATATACAATGGAAAGCCTGTGTGAGTGAGCATTTATAAACACGGCAAGGTTCCAGTTTAATGTTACTTATAAATATCTTGAGTAATGCAGAAAAACCTAAAAATTTTTATAGTGAACCCTACATTGTTTCTTTTGAAAACCTGATTTTCTGAAAAGGGCGCTTGTTCTCTTTCACTTCCTGATACACCCTTGGGGCAAAGATTCCTGAAAGTTTTAGATCAGCTTGGGAGTTTTTAGGTAGAGTTTTCATATTCCCAAAGAAGAGCTACCCTTAAGTACTGGATTATAAAAAGCAAAAAAAAAAAACCAAACAAACCAAAAACCTACTTTATTATCATGTACAAATTCTAATTATTTTTCACAGATTCAGCTTTTGAGAACTGACACCTTTGAAGGTATTTGTTCAGTCAGACTGGATTTTTGTTCCTAATTGAATTTTGAATGCCTAGACAAGCACAACAGTTACCAGTTTCCCATCATTGGTGTCTTGCACTCAGCCTGCTTCACTCGTTCAAAGTCACAGAATGGTGGCTAGATGCATTTATATTTGTGAAACCTTGACTTTTACACTCTTATGTTTTTAATAAGGATTTGATAGAATCTAGTCTTTTCCCAGATGCTTTAGCCAACAAAATTAAAAATAATTTTTACAGGAGTCTATTTTCCCTTTACTTACATGGTTTCCCTTATTTAGATGCCTTTTTGAGACTTGCATCCTACTCAACATCAGTGGAAATCTAGGTTTGGCTTTAATTTATTTTTGCATGCCCAATTCTTAATATGCACTCCAAATATCAGCCACACTGATATTTCCTTAGAAATCTGTGAAAAAAGTTTCCTCAGACTTATTTTTTTCTCAACAGAAGACTGTCTTGGATCAAAACCCAATAGTCCTAAATTCCATAATATGTGTCTCTGAAAGAATGAAGTTAAAAAATAAATGTGAAATGTAAATGTGTCAGAGTCCAGCTCCAACAGGTCCAGGGGTCCCTGAAATGGACGGTGTCAGCAAGAGAGGGATGAGGGAGCCCCGAGAATCTTTCTGGTCACCAGGCAGGCATCTCTGCACTGTCTGAGACTCAACTTTATTTTATGATTAAGTGTTTGGGGGACAGCCGAGAAATGGTATTCTGATGATAAATTCTTTGATCAGTAAAAATTCTCCAGAATATTGATATGCATAACCTTATTATTATGATTTTGGTAAGGGTACTCATGCTCATCATATGAAGAAGGAAGATATATTTAGCATTCAAATACAAACAGGATAATGTTTTTAGCATAATAAAGGCAAAAGTTAGTTCTTTTCAAGCAGGGATGAATAGCCTGTTTATGGCTTAATGGGAAGTATTAAGAAAAACAGGTTTTCAGGAAACACACTTTTTGCTCCCATAACCACAAAAGAAAACATCTAAACATTAGTCACAGGGCTTATAGTTCCTGTAACGTCATCCATCAGTCTGTACCAAAGTTATTATTTTATTAATGTAAACCAGAAGGCAATAGCTGACCTTTTTGTGTCATTGATTACTCAGTACTGATCACTATTTCCAGATTAGTAAGCATCAACGTTTTTCCAAGCTACAATAATTTCCTTCACAAGGTGCAATCATCATACCAGGACCAGAATAAGTCACTTCCAGATTCCAATCAACAAGGTGCTTTGGGGGTTGGTGCTCAAGCAGAAACAATTGAGTGGGGGTGGGTATCGGTCATCACCTGACAGCAAGAGACTGTGCAAACTTGCCGTAACCTCACAAGGAGTTTTCTCGACTAGTGAGTTCAGAATGGCTTCCATCATATATGCAATATTTGATATTATTTTTATGCAGTCATTATTGTTCCATAATAGCTTCCCTGTCACAAAAGTATGTTTCCCATATATCCAAGTTGCTAAAATGACACTAATTACCACCTCACCCCCCAGTCCAATCAATCCTTGCATTCTTTGTTTGCCCTACAAATTTCACAAAGCACAGGTCTTACATTGGCCTTTCACCAGGCAAGGACATTCTTTTTGAAGCCATTACAGATACTCCAGTCTCTCTGTTCTTGCCATGGCTAATCCCATTGCATAGCTCATATTTTCACTGTATTCCATTTCTGTGATTCCTTCTAGCTACATCATTCCTCATATGTTCTCTATTTTTCAGCCAACTAAAAAAGGGCAACATCCAGCCTTCAGGAGTACATCCCTTAAAATACTTCCACATTCTTTTCCCTACTCTGGCTTGCTTTACTTCACCCTTTTACTAATAAATCTATCTTTTCCTGAAATGTTTGTATTACCACCTCCATAATTTATAAAAACTCCCTTTTTTAAATCAATTAAGATAGTAGCAGAATGAGCATATTTAGAATTTTTCTAATGTTTTGTTTATTCTTGAGAGAGCGAGTGGGAGGGATGCGGGGGGGGGTGGCAGAAGATCTGAAGTGAGCTCTGTGCTGACAGCAGTGAGCCCAATGTGTTGCTCGAACTTATAAACTGTGAGATCATGACCTGAGCTGAAGTTGGATGCCTAACTCACTGAGCCACCCAGGTGTCCCTATTTAGAATTGTTTTAAAATTATGTTTAGTAGGTTGAGATCTACTAACCCACATTGGCGGTGCTAAATATGTACTGTGTGTGGAGGGAGGAACAGTAAAGAACAGTAGCATTGTTTGACCCAGATGCCTGGAACCTAGAGCTGGAAGTATTGTTTATTTGAGTCTCCCATCAGGGTTAAGCACAAATGACGGGTAAAAGCTTCAAGAAAGCCAATCCAAAACTGGAGAACCAGGGACAACACAGTTCCCTGAGGAGACTCCCTGGAGTCTGTTCCTGACCTACTAAGCCCACAATTTCCCTGGAAAGTTCTGGAGAGGACTTATCTCACCAGCTCATACTATTTCTCCTCTCTTTGTTTCTCTGTCTCTCTCTCACTGCCTCTGTCTGTATTGCCTATTCTCCAGTGATTTAACCAGTGATGAGGGAAGAAAGTGTTGTACCCTCCAGTCTCTGTTTATTTTGTTCTTTAGTGCTTTTGTTTGTAGCTATTTTCAGAGTGAAATAGGACAAAAAAGAACCCAGTTTTCAGAATGGATTTTTTCCCCAAGTCATTTCATCTAGGGATTTCCCTTAAGGAGACCATTCCTGGCACAGAAACCCTATACTCTAAATCTGTTTATTATTCATTACTTTAAATCTAGGCAAAATTCATAGACCTTCAGTGATCCTAAATCTGTATTCTATGCTAATGTGAGCTGTTTTCCCACACAACACTTTAGTGGATTGTGGTAGATCTGCACCGGGTAAAAGTTACTGATCTGCTCAACCTCTGTGACCACTAATATCTGAGGGGGACATAGAAAGAAATGTTAATTTCCTTCACTTTACTAGAAGTTAGCTGCCATGGGAGAGAGGTTGGTAACAAATTTGTGCAGGTCAATTAATCTTTTAAATTTATTTACAAGGCTGAGTAAATTCAAATTAAGTATTTCATCCAAGGAGTTCAAACTGCTCCATACTTAATGTTTGATAACAAGCATTTTTATTACAGTTCATAAAATAAGCAAGTTCAGGCAATGACCATGGTTATGTCACATGTTTAATTTCCTACCACAAGTCTATTGAAGACCTGAAATGCAATCACCATCTCAATCCTAAAAGATGTGCGTTCTTTGCAAGTGTAC